AAATTTAAAAAAAAAAATGTTAAAAGTGCAACAAAAATGATTCAGGTAAGTGGCGCCACGTTCTTTGTCATTTAGCATTAGTTCATTTTGATAACTGCAACAAAAATGAATCCAAGTTTTTATTGTTTTTATATATTTTACCAAACTGTTTTTTTAAAAGATGATTTATTTTTTTCTATTCATGTATTTTCTTAAAAAAGGCAATGGTTTTATTTAAATTTTTTTGTAATCAATTTTTCTTTATTGATAAAAGAATATTTTTAGTTTATTATAAGACAGCATAGTTGCCAAAACGTTAAACGTGTTTTAATTGTCTCGGAGTGATTGATCAATTTCATGAAATATTTATAGACTTGAATAACTCGTTATTCATTTATTATTATTACATCGATAATGTATATAAAATAATTTTATTTACAACGCAATTCTGTCTATAGATTTATTTAAAGAAAGATATATATAATTATAAAGTATATGATATTCGTTCTAATAAAAACCATGGAAATCAGGGAAGCGAGGATAATAAGATGCGGTCATCTAAAAAATATTGATCGATATTAAGTAGGTTTATGTATAAAGGGGGTCCAGAGTGTCCATCAAGAGAGCCTGCGGGTTGGCTCCTGTTACGGAAACCTTTCTACCTAATTAAGCGATGATATCGAGTTGTCCTATCCTCGGAGGATTCGACGTGGAAAACTAATAATCTGGATAAATTATTTCCTCTCTTCAAACTTCCCTGTTATATATATCTCATATATGCAGATTACAACTTACATAACCTTCCTGGCTTGTTATCTCAAAACTTTTGCATTTATCCAAAAGTTTTACAAGTCAATTTTAGTTGTAAATTGTTATTTTCTTGAGCTTTTGTGACTTCATTTACAAGCTCATTGGTTAGTAAATAGTCTGTAAAATACTTTCGACAGTTTTCATGTTTATGATAAGGTAATTTCCCATGACATATGGTTAGGGATCCTGTTTTTTGGTATAATTTTATTTCTTTTTTTAGGAATTTATTAACAATCTTCAGAATTTAAAAGTATTTTGAGATTTTTCATATATATAATTTTCCATTTCTTTTTTCTATTTCTTTATTTATAATTGATAAAAATGGACTTTCTTCATCGTTAATATAGTAATTGGAAAAATTATAGGAGGAGACTAATAAAAATCTGTATTGGCTCTAATTTTTTTTTCCTTTAGCTTTTCCCCGCCTTTCACATCTTTATTTTCTTTTCTTCATGCTATTGAACACAAAAAAATATATGTTGGTCTGAACATCTTTCTGAAGGTATTAGACGATCCATCAAGGGTTTGGGTGCTGTAAGACAATTTATACTGTCGATAAATTCCTTTTCGCTTTCATTAGTGGCCTTGTCCAGTTTTCGAAGAAAGAGAGAGGGCCCTGAAAAGAACAAGAAGTGCCGGAGTCTTGATAAGGAAAAAAGTAAAAAAAAAAAAACGAAAGAAAAAGATTTACAACGGCACGCGCTTTCTCTGCAAATATATATATAGTATATTCGTTCGCCAGATTTTTTCGATTGCTCTTAATTGAACGGATTAAATGATCACACATGTGCCTTCATCTCATCTCTCCCACATCGTTTTATCAAAACTTCTCTCATAGTTGTGTTATTTGATGAGAATTTTGTCGTTTTTATATTGATGAAATGATTTTTATGAAATATAATATATATTTTTTCAACACGGGGACAAAGTTTAGTTTGGTAAATAAATTATTAATTCCCTATAAAAATGACAGAAATGAAAAATAATCAAAGAAATAATAAGACTTAAAAATTTTTCGATCGTTATATGAATATAAAAAATGATTGTGACTTTGAAAAATACTGAAATTTGAATATATCTGTATGTGAAATGAAAGAATTTGCATAAAAAAGTACGAGAATTGTCGCACGTCGGAAAATCAAGAGGGGTGAAATATTTCCGGTGTCTTCTCGTTGATGTGCAATATTCGAGACGAGTCTTTCAAGAAGGAGAAAAAAAAAGAGTGAGAGACGACCGCATAAAAAAGGCTGAGTTGCCAGGATTTTCTTTGCCTTACAGAATGCAAATTTGAAAAATACGGGCACCCACAATTCGGCGAATCTATATAAGAGGAGAGAGTGTGCTTCCATGTGAACCTTATCGAATTTATTCAAAGTCACGAATGCACATGTTCCCTTCAAGAACGAACAACGGAAATCTTACCCTATTCGTCCCCTTCTTTTCATTCCGTTAAGATTTTCAAGACGAATTTAATAAAGTTAAAAGGAAAGTGAAAATTTTGCTCTTATTTCTCTTTTAACCAAGTTTCGAGGGACCATTTTTGAATACTAAATATACAACTTATAAAAAAAAAAAAACCCAAATATAAATTATATATACAAAGAAACAGAACAATAAGTTATTAATATCAAAGGGAAAAATTATAAATTATTATCTCGTAGAGAAAATATAAAATTCCAGGCGACAAAAAAGAAACTTTATATCGTGTGACTTGCAAAAATATTGTAAATTTCTAAAGCTAATTATATTGTAATTAAGTTCCCTTGTCAATTACAAGAGTTTTGAGACCGAAGTGAGATTATGTATAATTAATGATCAGGCGAGACTAATATAGTGAAATGTTAGATATTATGTGTCAGGTTTATGACACGTGCAAATGACAGAAATACTCTCCAAATGACAATTTAAATAAAATAATAATTAATTGAATCATATTTGCTTTTAATAAAATAATGTCAATCAATCAATGAGAATTCAATTGTACGATTTTTCATTTTATACTTTTATCAATACGAGATTATATAATTAAAACATATTTATTAAAAATAATTGTTTTCGTTAGTTTATAAAACAGTATTAGTAGTATGTATTTGTACAAGGATTTGTATTGTACCAATAAACCACACACAGTGGTCTGAAACCCTGATTTAGCTGGACAAAACCTCAAAAAAAAGTTGAAAAATTGCAAGTTTCACTTGAAGATTAGTTAGTTGGGTACTTGGTGCATTCAGTATTAAAAGGACAAGTCACTAAAATGCATAGTTTCGTTGAAACAGAACGTCAAAGTGGACGTGTCAGCACAGCAGGAAAAAATTTATAAAGCAAAGAAAAATTTACTACTGTTGAAGTGCCCACTACTTTTGTTTGGAATTTTTTTTGGCATTTGTGTAATATGGAGGTTGATCCTAGAAGTATATATACATTACGAATTTCTATTTTAAGTCGATTTAATTGGTTTGGATAATTATTTTTAATACTTCCAAGAATTCAGACAAAATCGATGCAAGCGATAAATTATTTTATCGTAATAATATTAATAATATTAATATTAATAAGAATAATAATAATAATAATTCAATAAGTTTTGTGCTCCATGGTTCTCCACTTTCTACACATGATAAAAATGAAGGTAAATAGTTACAGAATCATGTAAAAGCAAATTTAGCTGCCACTATTTGCAGCTTTGTTCTGAAACTTCAATTAAGTGACGCAAAATAGAGAAAAACGCTTAAAAATTTCAAAAATGTTTACTAACATTCCATAATACATTTAAAGACTCACATTGATTACTGTGTAAGACTTATTAGAGCCAATAATTACGCATCAAAAGTCAGTTTTTCAAAATTCAAAATGGCGGACAGAAAGTTTAAAAAATTAATGGATTCTAATGAAACTTATTACTAGAGGGTTTTTTAGGTCGCTGATTACGAATTTGAGGTCAGTTTTCAAAAATTTTAAATAGCGGATCCAATATGGCGGACAGTGAGTTTAAAAAATTAATGTTCACATATAAAATAACTATTCGAAACAAATTTGAACTTTTAAAAACTGACCTTAGATTCATAATCAGCGACCCCAAAAACCCCCTAGTAACAAGATTCATTAGAATCCGTTAATTTTTGAAACTTTCTGTCCGCCATTTTGAAATTTTTAAAACTGACCTCAGATTTATAATCAGCAACACAAAAAACTCCCTAGTAACAAGTTTCATTAGAATCCGTTAATTTTTGAAACTTTCTGTCCGCCATATTGGATCCGCCATTTTGAAATTTGTAAAACTGATCTCATATTCGTATTCAGCGACCACAAAAAACCCCCGAGTAACAAGTTTCATACAAAACTTTAGCGAAGCAATTTGGAGAAAACAGTTTTGTCCAGCTAGATTCGGGTTTCAGACCACTGTGAACCATTAAAAAAAAATTTATTTCAACGCAAATCAAGAAAGTTTAACCAATAAATTAAATACCATACTATAAAATTTCCAAATACATGTGGAGTAGCAGATTTCTATATACTTTTAAACTTTTCTTTGCAATATTTAAAACTATTAAATCAATAAATAATAAATAAAAAAATTGAGGATAATTTATTACAATTTAAAATTGTTTATTATAATATTACGTATTGATAATATACTAAAAAACTAAATTTTTTCAAAAAATACTTCTTAAAATTGCCACTGATAGGAGTTTTTAAATTTAAATTGTAATATTTTGCAAATATAATTGCAATATATATTCCATTTTGAATTTTGAAAAAGTAACATCAGATTTGTAATCAGCAACCCGAAAAACCCCCGAGTAACGATTTTCAAGCGATACCGAACGATTTTTTTAAAATTCTTCCGCCATACTGGAACGGTCATTTTGAATTTTGAAAAACTGACACCGGATTCATAATCAGCGACCCCGAAAACACCCGAGTAACGATTTTCAAGTAAATATGTTGCAGTACATGAAAAAAAAGTTGTCTGGGACCGAGGGTCCCAGCTCAGGCACGCAAGGGTAAAATATAACCAAAAAAAAAATTTTTCGTACTATCAAAAGACGATTTAAAATCAGATCAAACAAACTCTCAGTGTTAAATTAATAATAATACATAATTATGAATCTTCAAAAAAAACGAATTTTAAAAATCAAATGTTATTCAAATAAATCAAAAAAATTGTGAAATTTCAATTTAATCCAAATTGATATATTCTTACAACTCACCGGATAATGTGCTGATTGGTGGATTGCAGCAAAATAGTTGTGTATTTAGTGATCAGCATTTTTCTTATCTTCTTTGAAGTGTCCAGAATTTTCAAAAGACGAGCAAACACGATAAATTTTGTCCACGCAATCAGTCTTGTGGTGTACTCACCCTCTCTTTATTTATCAGCGGAAAGTACTTAATACTTAATTACATGGCAGTCAGCAAGAAGACGAGCGCATGGTGGACTCTCGTGTAATGCGACACGGTCACGAAACTTGTTGCGGTTTTTTTTCGTTATATTGCACACACACACACATATATATATATATACAACGATGACTGTTAGTCTGTATGGTATTTGAGGGTTCTCGTTTTACGCAAATTCGGGATTGCATTGGACGAAAATCGCGTGCAACAGTGTGTTGAAAAGTACCAAGGCGACAGGGAGGCTGATGTACTCGCCTTTACTACCACGAAAATTCTTACCGCTACTAAATTTAGAGCTCATATTTTGTATTTGGACGGGAGAAAGCGATTCCCGTTTGCTGTACTCCTGATGTCGCGATATGAATTTCAAAAGAGACTTGTGTGTGTATATATTTGCTTACACGCAAGAATTATCTTATTATCCCGAAGCAGCGGGATATAAACGCCATGCCAACAATAATTCACAATCGTGATCAATCCCGTTTGAACGTGTCTTAGCCTCTCTCGCACTCCAACACATCAGATGTATATATGTATATGTATACGATAGGCCAAGGAACTTGTGAGTGCATCTGTGTTCTTGACCTTTTCCACTTTCCTTTTCACTTTTCTTTATCCTTTATCTATACCGAGCTTTATTGACTGGGTCAAGTGTGCCATTGCCTTTTCTGTTGGAAATCGTTTGGTTAAAATTAATTACCATTGATTTGAATTTTTCATTTGTTTCTTTTGAATTCTTTCATTATAAGTACTCTAATTATTAGAAAAGTGTTTTATACACTGAAAAATAATTCATTTGATTCAAATAATCGATCAATTATTTATAATATTAATAATTGTCAAATAAATATTTATTTGTATCAAATAATTTTTATTTACCAACTAATTTTTATTTGTATTAAATAAACTGTATTTAGACCAATAATTTCTGTACTGGAAACTACAAATAAAATAACTTAAATTGATAATATCTACACTGAGAAAAATATGTTATTGACACATTTAATTTGAAAGTATTAAATTGATACTGAAAGTATCACATTGATCTAAATTTTTATATCAATTTGATACTTTTGGGTATCTATGTGATACTTTTAAATTAACTGTGTGAATTAGTAGCATTTCTGCCAAAAGTATCAAAAATGTTGTTTCAAAAGCATATATATATATATGATATGGAATTTATATCATATTTTATGAATTCCATAGTAAGTGGTTTTAAATAAATTTTTATGCCTTTGGCAAAAATGCTGTTGCAGCATATCTTTCTCAGTGTAGTCAAGTAACCGATTATTTGAATTAAATTAATATATTTATTTCAGTGATAGAATTTGATTTTAGAAATTTTGTTTGTAATGTTGTAAAAATTATTAATTCTGAAGCATATGCTATAGAATTTGTAAAATATTTTATACAGATTCTATAGCATATGCTTTTGAATCAATAATTTTTATGCCTTTGGCAGAAATGCTGTTGATTCAATAGCATATTTTTCTCAGTGTACTTTTAAATTTTTTAGATTAATTTATAATCTGTTGATGGTAAACTTTCTTTAATCTCAGTGAATCATGAAGTTGAAATGAAAATAATGTTCATGAACAAAGAAAAACGCAACTGGAAGGGAATATAAAACTGATATTGCAAAATATATTTGAGAATTTGAAATTGTTCCTTTTTCAAACTGTGCGGAATGTTGATATAAAGAACGATACGTCGTAAAACGTCACAACCTTGCATTGATTGTCAGCGAGGATAATTGTTATTAACTCTGAAGCATTGATGTTGTTTTAATGTAAAAAGTGGACAAAAAAAAAGCATTGATCGCAAAAGAGATGATGACCTCGAGGATGCTTGAGGCTTTAGTACCTCAAGTTTTACAAGGAAATACAAATAAATAAAAGAATTAAAGAGTCATCTCAGAACTTCCACATAGTCGAGGCAATATATGTATATACGCAATCGAGAAATCAAATCTTAATCGAGATCAAGACCTATATTGATTGCAAACCTTGAATATATCAAATCAAATTCACATTTAAAGTTATAATATATATATATATTCACAATATAGATTAATATTTTTTTTTCATTTTTCTTGTCTATTATTTCTTATTTTTTAGAAGCAAAAATTAATTCTTATAATTTTCACGTATAAAAATTTGGAATTTATATTCGAAAAATTATATAAATGAGTTTATTAACTTAAAAAGTGTTTGGCGTCAATTTCTTCAATAAAACCATTTCATTGTTGAAATTGAGTCAGAACTTTTAACTTAATTTTGACCATCAAACTTATTTTATCCATGCGTGGGCTTCGCCGCATTTATATATATTATGATTGTCTCATCTCCCAATTTAAAAATTATAAACGAATCTTTATATAAACAGACAAAATTTTGAACTATTCCTTATATGTTCCTAATAAAGTTTCGACTCACAATATTATTTTAATCCATTATTTATTAATGACTCAAATTCAAGTCAATTTTTCCAAAAAATTAAATTGTGCGGTTTATGTTAAGCCCTTTTTCTTCAAATTTCTTAATAATTTACATCCTTTATCTCGCATCGATTTGTTGTGGGCTATTAGTCCTGTTTTATCACAGGATGTGGCGTGATTCGCTTGAGGAACACTTGTTATATATATATATATATTCGCTTCAATATAATATAACCGATCAAAATTGATTTTACACTCGATCGATCTTGACACTGGGTCAACCGTGAAATCATTATAAAACATTTTTCGCGCGCCCTAGAAAAACTTATAATAGAGGGAGGTGTTTTTCTGAGGGAACATTTGCGGTACACCGAACCGGTTATATATCGATGGATATTTTATCGCAATCATAAAAACAGTCGTGAAGAAGAGGAAAAAAAAGTCTCTCTTCTGCACGGCGAATAAAAATTATGAGCCGTGTGGCGTTGAAAAATTTTAATTCCACATTTTATCATCTGTCAAGCTTCTGGACGGGAGAAACTTGATATTTTTTTTTCTTTTTATTATTATATTCTTTAACTACATAATATACAAGTTTTGTTCACTTTTTAAATTCATTTTAATAATAAAATATAAAAGATGCTGAAAAAAATAAAGTAAAAATAAATAATAATAAATTATATCAAAAGGGGGAAAAAAGTATACAATAAATATTATTGAAAATAATTTATGAAACAAAGGGAAAAGAAAACAATGTGGAAAAAATGCAAGAACCAAAATAATATAGGAGAGAACAAAATTGGAACAAGTTAAAATCCTTGAACTCTGATTGTCTCTCATTTGATTCAATATAATTTCCCCTTCTAAGAACTAGTGAATCTTTGAAAAGAAGTCAATCAAGATACTTTATGAGCTATTAAACAAAAGAAAAAAACATGTGAAATAAAATAAGATATTTTTTTCGCCATTGACATGAAAAAGTGTCTTTTTTGTGCCTGTTTTGGGCAGATAAAGTAGCACTTTTTAAGGCAGTTTGGGCCAACTGCCTAAAAAAGACTTTTTTAGGCAGCAAACTGCCGTATAAAGTCTTTTTTAGGCAGTAAACTGCCCTATAAAGTCTTTTTTAGGCAGTTGTTAATTTTTGCATAATTTTTTTTTTTGCTTTTATTTTATTTATCAATTTTTATTATTTTTTTTCTTTAAAATTGTTTCACTTTTTCATAACAATGGCGAAAAAAATAGCGTATGTGGCTCGCACGTAGTAATTTTTAGGTTCGGATGATTTCAATACTCGCTGTCTGTGCGACTTCGGTTCGACTCGGCTCGCTTTCGGCTCGACTCGACTCGCCTTCGGCTCGTCTTCATCTCACCTACAGCTCGCCTTCGTCTCACCTACGTCGCACTAACGACAGCTCGTACTGAAAATTACATCCTCACCTAAAAAGTACTACTTTACGTGCTTGCCACATAATATACTATTTTTATAGAAAAAAAAATTCTTTTTTTTTCATGTTTTTCTCTGAAAAAATGACAGCGACGACCTGTTTTAATCAGTTTCATGTACTTTGTGTGTGCCTGCTGTAAAAATGAGGGGAAGAAAAATTATCATGGCATGTAAACGTCGACGAAACACTATATAGATGCATAAACAATCTACGTATTAATGCCATATTATCACTTCCGGTGAAGATAAAAGCCGAGTACTGGATTCTCTTATAAAGGAACGCCGTCAACCCTCTTTGATGTTGATACCACGATTTTCCACTTTTCATCCAACATTCTCTGTTCATGATTCACAATGTTATGCTTTGCACTACTTTATACAGAAACATTTTCATTCAAAAATAAATTTTTTTTTTTAATGCAAATATATAAAACAAACAAAATTAATTTACATTTAACTAAAGAATATTTTTTCATTTAAATTTTAAGTAAATTATTTAATATTTAAGACAATGGTAGGTTTTGTTGTAGAATAAAAGTAGAAAAATAGGTGAGCCCACCTCTTAGAAAGGATGTCAAGGACAACCTTCACTATTATGGTTTCGTAGGGACAGAAGAGCACAAGAAATTGGCGGGTTCGATTTTCGGTTTCGTTTCGATTGGCGCAAAAACGAAAAGAAACGAGAAGACATTTAGATGGGATCGGTAAATTATTTATAGAAGGCGTGTGCCAGACAAAGATCCGAATGTCTTGCCTGGCTGGCGGTCGCGAATGTACTGGCTCCTTAGTGTTTAAAACACTATAGTTCCTTCATCTGGAGACTCTAGATACGGGGCACCTTAAGCTTATATTATATGTACACGGGGTGTCCTGAAATTCTTGATAAATTGCATTTTCTTAATTCTTTAAAAGGTGATAATAATCCGCGACGAATATAGATTTTCAAAAAAAAAATAATAATAATAATAGTCTAACAGTTGTTTCAAGCATTAGATTATTTCTCTAACTCTAGAGTGCGGACTTAGGAAACGATTAAGTTGGATCTAAAGAAGAAGATATTTATCTTGTAACACGCGGTTATAGAGGAGATATATATGAATGAACAGATTTATTTCACAAAAAGTAGTTTATTTTTAATGGATTTACAAGCACTTCATACAGTGTTTTTATATTTAGAGATGGTGGTTGAAGTGTATTTTTATTTACAATAGGGTGTAATACCAAACTATGTTAAAGACAATATTAAATCATTAATAGTTTTAAATTTTAACAAGTAAAGCAAATTAAGTTATTAAATTATTATTATAAATGCATGTTTGACATTTAATGTCAAATAGTGTTTTTATATTTGCTGAAAAGAAAATTTTATACTTAGCAAATCATTATTTGAGAGATCATTGTGCGGTTATTTTTTTGCATCAAATGTAAAATTCTGATTATTTTTCTTCTTTGTGGTTAAAAATAACAAAATTTATATATCTTTTGAACTTACAGTATATTTTTGTATACTTTGGTGATATAAATATAAGAACGGGATCATTATTTAGAGATAATTACTCATTAGAGAGTAATTGTGCCTAAATGAAAATTTTTACAGTTGGACTCTTTAATTCTTTGCGGAATATATATATGTATATATTTTTTGTAAGTAGAAAGGTCCCTTTTTTTATTCCTCTTTTATTTAAAATCCCACCTACAATCATGATTTTTCTTCTCTTTTCCCTTTTATTTGAATTAAATGTTAATCAAACATTTTAATAAATCAAAAATTTTAATAATAATGTAATGTCACTACTTCTTGATTTACGAAATTCTCTTCTATTCATTTAAAAAAATAATTAAACAAAAATTCCGCTCTGTAATTTTAAGATTTAAAATTATTTAGTAGGGGAATACAGTCAGGGTTGGACCCTAGTCAGGGTTGGATACTTCGCTATTTTTTAAATAAGAACACTAGCGCAAGGTAAGCTTATCGAATGTATTGTGGGGTTCATGATTGAAGAAAAAACGATGTGAAAAATCGAATCGCGAAACATGCCTGGTTATGGTTAGCACAATTTGAAAAGTTCAAAAGGGGGTTCAACCTTGACTGTATTCCTCTACTGCAATTATTATTACATTGAGAGAAATGAATGGTTAAGGCTACTACTTTATTATTAGTAATGGAGGTATTTATTCTCCTGCCTATTTAGTTAGTAAAATTCAATAATGTTTTTAGTGAATTTTAATATTTTTGATGTCAAGCGCAACTATTTAGAATTGGTAAACAGGAAATAATAACCACTCCTACAAAAATAGTTTCAGTTACCACCAATGCAAAAGTTTAACTAACAGAGTAGTTGGGTTTATCATTTTTTTTAGTAAACGCGGTTGACAGTTGTCAGCAATTCGGTTCACAGTTTTCCCAAAAGTATCAAATTGAGACCAAAAATTGCATCAAATCTTTGCAACGTTTTAATGCACATAAGTTATATCAAAAAGAGATCGTTTTGTGTATCTTTTTTAGAAATGATACACGAAACGGTCTCATTTTTTGATGCAAAAAATTTAATCAATTTATATCAATCATGGCCGAATTGAATCGACTCAAAATTAAACGAATTTTTTTCAGATATTTTGGTAATAGTACAATTGCGGAGACCATTTCACTATTTAATTTGAAAATGAAAATAACAGAAAATCAAAGACAATGGGCAATTCGATAATTAAAAAGTGACAGCTTATAAACATAACCTAAAATGCATGAGAAAAAATTTGTCGATAAAATCAATGTAGCCGAGCTTTTTAGAATGTAGATGGCAGCACTCATCTATTTTCTTTCTTTAAATTTTTTCTGAATCGTTTTTATAAAAAGCAAAACTGCCATCTATTGATTTTTTCTCATGCATTTTAGGTTATGTTTATAAGCTGTCACTTTTTAATTATCGAATTGCACATTGTCTTTGATTTTCTGTTATTTTCATTTTCAAATTAAATAGTGAAATGGTCTCCGCAATTGTACTATTACCAAAATATCTGAAAAAAATTCGTTTAATTTTGAGTCGATTCAATTCGGCCATGATTGATATAAATTGATTAAATTTTTTGCATCAAAAAATGAGACCGTTTCGTGTATCATTTCTAAAAAAGATACACAAAACGATCTCTTTTTGATATAACTTATGTGCATCAAAATGTTGCAATAGAAAAAGATACAACCAAGTTTACTGTGTTGGTAACACTGTGAAGCACGCTTATGCTCGTGAAGCAATGTCGTGAGAAAACGTGGAGGCGCATGATTTTTCCCAAAAATTAAAAAGTTCGAAATTTTAATTGATCGAACTACTTTAAGTCGATATTTTATTTGGTCGAAATTCTAAAAGAACAACAGTTATAAAAGTCGACATTTTATTTAGTCGATATTTTATTTGATCGAAATTCTAAATGATCGATATTTAAAGTGGTCGACAATTTATTTAGTCGATATTTTATTTGGTCGAAATTTTAAATGGTCGACATTTTATTTAGTCGATATTTTATTTGATTGAAAATCTAAATGCTCGATATTTAAAGTGGTCGACATTTTATTAGTTAGATATTTTGTTTGGTAAATATTCTAAATGATCCACATTAAAAGTGGTCGATATTTGAAATGATAGAAATTTAGAAGCATCGAATTTTATATCCATCGAAATTTAATTTGGTCGATATTTTAAAAGCTCGACACTTTTTTAGCTATACGAGTTTCCTCTCTATGTTGTTATTATTATTTACATCAATAATTTCAAATTTCCTGCAAAATTTCAATGTACTTTACCGACAAACAACATAGAAAGGAAACTCGTATAGCTAAAAAAGTGTCGAGCTTTTAAAATATCGACCAAATTAAATTTCGATGGATATAAAATTCGATGCTTCTAAATTTCTATCATTTAGAATATCGAACAAATAAAATATCGATCACTTTAAATGTCGTTCATTTAGAATATTTACCAAACAAAATATCTAACTAATAAAATTTCGTCCACTTTAAATATCGATCATTTAGAATTTCGACCAAATAAAATATCGTCTAAATAAAATGTCGACCACTTTAAATATCGACCATTTAGATTTTCGATAAAAATAAAATATCGACTAAATAAAATGTCGACCTTCATAAATGTAGGTTATTTAGAATTTCGACCGAATAAAAATCGACTGAATTAGTAAGGTTAACTAACTAAATGTTATCTGTTACAATATGTAATAGTTGTTGGTACTAACTAAAGTAACTTTCCCTTACTAATAAAATAGTAACGGCAACTATTTAAGTTTTTACTATTATAAATAGTATCCCTGACTATCGAATACCAAAATGGTATTCGTAACCATTTTATTAGTTGCTTCATCTACTTTGTTCTCTCAGTGTATTATTACTTTTTAAGTTTGTAGAAATGTTGGTTAAAAAATAAGTTAATAGTTCAAAAATTAATTAATCAGATTTGATTTCATGTTTCATTTATTGCAATGAAATTAGTGACTGTTAACTAATTTTGAGTGGATAATATTTTTAAATTAGAGAATTAAAATTTCTATTATTATAGTTTTTGAAAATTTAACACAGTAGAATCTTATTTTTTAAGAACGTAAAGAAGTCTTATTTTAATTTGAATTTTAAAACATCTTTTGTCAATTTTCTTAAAAGTTTTTGTTTTTAATTTAAAACAATTATTTAGTAAACCTAATAACTTCATACTAAATTTAAGACAATGCTTTTTCAAAACTAATTTAATTTGAAAATTTATCCTATAATTGAATAAGATTTTTTACTGTGAAATTTTAGTCGTTTTTAATTATTTCGTTATCACTAAAACAAAGTTGTAATTCCAGTGTTGACTTAAGCTATATATAGTTAAAGTAATTCAAATATCAATTAAATTTAATACACAATAAAAAGAAAATTTAATTCTGAAGTACTCGTCTAAAATTAAATTATACTCCTGAAAAGTAAAGTTGGTTTTAATTTAATCTGAAACTTGTGTGCGACAATAAAATATTTTCTGCATTTAAGAATAATAAAAATTAACGAAATTCAGATTCTTTTTAGTCTTAATTTAAAAGTTTGCGCAAATTTAAAATTCAGACTTGGTTTTTCCATTACGAGAAGCTAAATAAATAAATTTACATTTAAAAAAATTTTAAATAAAAAATATGTTTATTTTTGTCCAAAATTCGTGTGAATTTTGATATCTCATTACTGAAGTTTAAAAAGTGTATCTTTATCTCACCCTATACAATTTAACTCTATTGTGTGTAACTGGTAAGTTTGCAGTCCATGTATGTGCAACGCATCATGGTCCTGTTTTTATTTGTGTTTGACGCCCACACATTTATGCACAAGGTAATTCACATATGTATGTGTCGATATGTGTAGGCATTTGGACCTGTGAGGATAACCAATGCCGGTTGTAAAATATCGCTTACAAGCGTGAAATTGTAAGAGTATACATATATATATATTTATTATATTCCCTATAGTTTTTACGCCTACTGACACGTAAAACATATATATATATAATATATATATATAAGAATCAGGCGCGAACTCGATTTTTGACCACCAACTTGCTTTCCTTCGAGATCGTTCGTATATAACGAGTATCACACACACTTGTTAAATACCTGGATAGACCTCGCGTCATTTCTAAGGACTTGAGTAAAATCTCTGGCAATTTTTGCATTCGATTCCCTTTTTTATTTTCTTGCCTTTGCGAGGTTCTCATTTTATCCAGATCCCT